AATAATCGGAAGCCGAACATGGAAAATCAAAATTTAGGAAAACATCAAATACAGTGCTTTGTACTAACAGATGCATCATGTCTTCTAAGCGAATTTGATAATATCACTTTTTTGCCATCCGACAACAGTTACGTTTTTTGCCATCCGACAACAGTTTTTCAAGTCTGTGTATGATAACAATTTAGATCTTACTTGATAAATTCTGATATTGTTTGTAAATCATTTTAGCTGAGAATTGAGCATATATTTAAGTAGTAAATGTTGATAGAAGTCTCATAGGGGAATCCGTTTGATGCAGTCGACGTTTGACCAGTTTGACGCTTAAAATAAGCCAATTGATTTTTAAAAGGTATAAATTAAATGATAAAGGTGAAAATTAGCAGCTTTTATATATTTTGCCATCCGACAACAGTTTTTCAAGTCTGTGTATGATAACAATTTAGATCTTACTTGATAAATTCTGATATTGTTTGTAAATCATTTTAGCTGAGAATTGAGCATATATTTAAGTAGTAAATGTTGATAGAAGTCTCATAGGGGAATCCGTTTGATGCAGTCGACGTTTGACCAGTTTGACGCTTAAAATAAGCCAATTGATTTTTAAAAGGTATAAATTAAATGATAAAGGTGAAAATTAGCAGCTTTTATATATTTCTTAATATATTACTACACGAAGTAGAGACATGCTGGTTAAGAATTCAAATAAATCCACTTGGTTTTCAATAAGTTCTCTTATAAATTGGACATGGATTGAAAAATCGCGTTCAGGGAGACTACCCACGGGAATCACTTGTAGCTAGTCTGAGCAATACGTTTGAAATTAATCGATGCATTMAGCAAATATGTTCTTTTTCATTTGTGAAAATGGACTACCTTTACACCTACGGGCACAGATCGCCGATATTTCAGAAATCAGGAGACAAATAACATTACTTAAAAAAAGAAAAGTTTTGCAACGACAATTAAAAAAGAGAAAGAAAAAAAGGAARATTTTACAATGCAATTAAGGCTGGAGATAATCGAAGATCTTGACACTMTAGAATGAGCTACATTTCTATTGCAATGACCATGTCATTATTTCTCTATTTTCCACGTAATTACTCGATATCTCGAGCTCACGCTGTTACAGTGTCTATTGTAGTGTCTGGCCTTATCCCTGATTCCTCTACAGATGCGTTCTGCAAATGGAATGTTTCTTGTATATCGATGGTCTCTTGACCCTGACCTGTTAAACACTAACCACAGACTGAATCAAAGGGCGACATGGTCCAAGACCAAACAAACCAGTGACCACTGCATGAGTAAGATAACTACATACCATTTTTTGGTAATTTTGTGAGCAATGCGGCCATGTCTGGGAACCAAAAAAGGATCAAATTCTCCCAAACACCTCTGAAAAATTAGAAGAGTAATCGAGTGAGGCCTTGCTACTGTATGGGTCAGATTTATTGAGTCCTATCTTTCGCCGTCAACTGCATCATCAGAGACTAAAGAATTACAGAAAATTTATATGGTACAAATGCGCGTGTGATAGATCAACCGTGGAGGTTAAAAGAGGGGCAGATCTAGTTCACTTTTTTCCCTACGGGGATTCTATCAATTCCAATTAGAAAAACAGTTGCACTCATTACTTTCAAAATTTACTTTCAGTGGGATCTAGTTTGCGACCGCTCAAGTTTGTCTAGTATGTCCAAGAGTATTGTGTTTGCTGGTTACATGGTAGGTGTGCTATTTGGTGGCATCTTATCTGACAAGTTTGGACGTAAACCAATCGTGTTTTTCCCTTCCGTGCTTTGCAACATACTCGCCTTGATTGCCTCGTTCGTTAACGTGTTCTGGTTGTTTGCGCTTCTCCGAGGACTTATTGGTGTTTGCATTGGTAAGTAGGAAATACTACGCGCAAACTAAACAAAATAAATATT